TCATCAGGAAATCCACAGGTTTATATTTCACAACTCAGAAATATAACTTTACCAGGAAAATACCTGTAATCTGTGAATACTCCAAAAAATGTTGCACCATAATTTAACAAACAAAAACAACCCCTAATCAGAAAACAGCAACAGCAAAGGAGTACCTGGAGAATTCTACAGGCAAAATTGATCAGCTCTTTAGATTATCAGATGTACAAGCTATCAAGCATTACCAGTTTCCAGTTAGTTTTGGGGTCCATTTTATAAATCTAGAATTTCATCACAGAATACACTATTATTTAACAATACATGTAATTATGTAAGCCTTTATATTGTGCAACCTGGCCTTTCCATTCTCCATTTTCCTTCTTAGTGAAACAATCAGTGAAGCAATTTCTTGAGCATGGATATTCTGAATCATTATGCTTTACTTTATAACAAAATCTCTAGTTAATCAACATCAGGCAAATCTATTTTGATTTTAAAATGACTGTTTATTACATTGAAGATGTTGGCTAGTCCTGAAACTGAGGCAGTAGAAATGTGCTTTGCATGTTCACTGACACCTCTCTGCACAATTAGGTTCTGCTGTGAGTCACTTGGGATGGAGATGTTTGCCAGCCAGGTTTTGGGAGGTTCATGGACATGATTAAGTGACGCTGTCCCAAGAGCCTAGTGCACACAAAACAAAACAAAATCAGTCTTCCAGTCTTGGCAAGTTAATAGAGGAAGAGCTGGCGTACACTTTGTTCTTTAATACATCTTTAGTTGTTATTTGAATTTCTTCATTACTACTTTATATTTACATTAACAGACTAAGCTAAAATATCATGCATCATTTTCCTTTCTTCAGTATTTCAATTTACATCAGCTGTTAATTAGACCTACTTATGTGACCCATCTGTCAGTCAATGGTTTGAGAATGAAAAAAACAAACCAAACCAAACCTCCAAACCAATCAGGAAGATTATTTCCACTAACTGATTTGCTTTTTAAAGGCTGGAACACAAAATTTGAAATATCTGCTCTTAAAAACACACTGGTGAGCCAAGATGTATTTCCTTGCTGCTGACCACTCTTCATGCACACAGTCATGACTGTTTGAAGAAGAAGAGATGCAATCTCCCCACTAGATCTGGATGTGGGGTAGGGCTGCTTGCTGAGGGTGCCCCAGGAGAGGCCGAGGAGAGATCAGCTCTTGATCCAGGTTGATGTTCACTTAAATGATCCCTGCTCTCTCTTTCTAAGTGCTCTGCCACCAGATCTTAGATCAGATCTATTCTCTTGACAAAGTTATTTTTTTTAAATTAGAAAGTGTGGTAATTTCAGCATAAAAACACTGTGCAGCAGTTTTAGCTTCTGCAAGTTGCTGCAGTTCTGCGGATGTCTATTTATTTACTCATTTATTTTTGAGACATCAGCATTTTAGAAAACACTGTATACCCTAGTTAGAGATTTTTATTGGAATATATTTTATTAAAACACCATGTATGTAATAGAATATTAAATATTAAAACACAAGGACCAATGCATTGTACATGTATAATATAATTATTCTTGCTATAAACTATTAATTCTGTAAAATTGATTACCAAGTTATAAGTATTTCCAAAGTCCTGAAAATAAGATATCTAATTACAAGAGAATCTCGTGTAACAGTTAAAACAATTTCCATATCCCCAGGTGTAAAGAAAGCTCAAAAACCTAAGCTGAATGCAAACTGAACAGACCAAAAAGGAATAAAATCACGTATATTTGTGAAAGACTTCTGCAAGCTGATTTCTTTCTGTGAGTAGAAGCCTGGTAATAGTCGATGAGACACATGATTAAAACTAATAACTGCTAGCAAGCAAAAACTGAAACAAATTTTTGCATATGTATGGAAGCTTTTACTGAACCCTGGGCTCAAATGGCTTTTAACTTTTTCTGGTATGGCTGAGAAATGTTAAGAGCCGTATTTTCCTTTTAAACTAATACTCAAAAATAAAAATACAGTAGGACTTCAGAATCTCCTGGAATCTCCTAGAAGCTGAATAAGGCTTTTCATTGGAGTTTGCTGCAGCAAGTCAGACTGTACTTGCTACTGCTGAGAATTAAAAAGGTCATTAGCAAAAACCAGGCAGAGATGCTTAACTGGATAAACTGGATTTCATCTGTACACTCATATGTGATGCAAAAAGACTGCCAAGACAAGATGAAGAGAGACTTAAGACTTTGCTTTGTATTCTCCTTGGATATACAAATACAGGGACACAAGATTAAAGCTAGATTTTTAATAAAGCCCTATAGTTAAAGTACATGATGCAAAAATGCACTCAACTTTAGAAACCTGGCCCATATCATAAACTTTATGGATGAGAAGTTAGTAATTGATTTGGCTCTCTATTGAAGACAAAGCCTTATTTCTCAGAAGCATCAGCATAAGCTGTAAAGGGACTTGCAGTTTATGGGAAAAACATGCATTGAAGAAGGATACTGATTTTACCATAAGTGATCTGCTCCAGGAAGAAAGTTCTGCAAAGAAATATCCCCTCAACTCACTAAAAATATGAAGCATTTCTTCCTAGCAAGCCTGAACTTCTTTAGTTGGGATTACCCCATGTAATAAATATGGAAAGAATCACCCTTAAAAACTAACTGGTCTTACTAAGCATCACTAATAATTTATTTTAAAATCAGACACATATATGCAAAGAGAACTTAACTTAGCAAACAAATTCTGAATTTTGCAGTAAATTATTTTCCTTGCAGATGAGCATCCAGAATAATTTCAGTGTAAATGGGTATCAATAAAAAAGACTCCAATGGTACTAAGCCAGAATTTATCCTTGTTTTCCATAATATTTCAAAAGTAATGATCTTAAGAACCTGGAATAGGATAAACTACATAGTACTAACACTAGAAAATCTAGATTTGTTTTGTTTAGTTAATGGTAGTAACGTTGCTTCAAATGTGGATGCCAGTATTTTAACAATACATATCTTTGATATATATCAATAAAATATATTTAGATTATAAATTTTATAATATTTATTTTAACAGTATCTTCAAAGAGCTTTAAATAATTTGAATAAAATAGGATAAATCTAGTTCAGCTAAAAATCTTGACAGTTTTTGTGCTGTTCTGTTTAACATTTTTTTGTCCTGAGATATTATTAAAAGATTTTAATATTCAGAATATGAAGAAGTAAATAATTAAGTATAATTTTTCTAGCAGATAAATTCACTGTTCACTGGTGTTGATACTTCATTGTTTTGCATCTGGTGTAGTCATTTAGAGATGTGCATGGTCAGTGCAAAACATCACAAAATGAGAATCACATTTTTCCAAATCCCTTTATGAAGGTGCTCAAAATGTAAGGCAGGAAACTGGAAAGTCAGTTCCAGTGTCTTGTGGATCTCCTTTGGCTACTGGACTAGATTCTAATTTTATTCAACTAAATTCTTCAGAACTGATCCTTTTTATTGTTCATTCACAGCCAAGGATGAGCATATGATATATGGACCTGAACTCTGGAGTTCAGCCACGTACAGCATGGTTTCTTTGAACAAAATGTAACCAGTGGTAAACAGGGGCAGACTCTCAATTATTCTCCATGGGGGGTTTTTAGGCATTTGCTGGAATTCTTACAAGAAGAGTCTGCTCTTTGTGCTTTGCTGGACAGAATACGCACAAAAATATTTTCAAACTAAATGCAGCTGGTTCTAATCCTCTGATAATTTAATCTACATGGATCCCTAGCTTTAACATGAACCAAGTCATCTGTAAAATGTTAGTTACATTAGAAGACACAATCTAGTTTTTTACCAGATCCGAGCCAATCAATAAGTCTTTCTTTCTTTGATCTTTGTGTTTTCTGGAATAATGGCAAGAAACCAAACCAAAGTCACTACAAAATCAATCCAAGCCTTAATACACTCTTAAAACTACTAGGAACAATTTTTGATGAGGAGCTTCACTGCTGCTGGAGTTTCTCTCCTTGAGACATGCATTCCAGTTGTGATTCAAATTTTTCAGCTGAAATGAGAGGATAAACTGTACTTGCAATCATATAGCAAGCAGCAGGAATCCTAAAAAGGTAATTTTCTTTTAAACTATATATATGGCCCTCCTTGGCTTATTTCAGATGAAATCCAGACCAATTTGTTTAAATAACCAGTAAAGACAATACAGGAACTAAATGCAGGAAGAATGCCGAGAAAAAATAAAACACAGCCAATTCCAAGTACACTGAAAGAATTTTATTCATATTGCATATTCACGTTACATTCAATAAGCACCTTCATGTGTTTATTCCATACTCTCACACTCCAGTTGTAATGTGGTTCCAGTGACATTTACAGATAACAGTTTGTGTTTAAAAAGCCCAGGGTTGTTTTATTAAAAGACAATGAATTTGCAGGAGAAATTACATTCTTTTTGTGAAAGTCCCTTTATGCATCACGTAGTTTTCCTCTGTTTGTGAGACACATATTATTGAGCAGGATTTTCACTCCCCACATTTAAATAAGAGAGACATGGTGGAGTAGGAAAGAGCATAAAGCACTGCTGCTGGAGTAGGGCAGTATTTTGGTTTTCCTGGGTGCAATTGTGCAAGCAAGGGAAGGATGAGCAGAGTATGAAACTGGTGTCTGCCCTCCAACTCCTCTCTGGACCTTCAGGAAAGACTAATACTGAAAATGCTCACAAGTAATTTTTTTGGGCTACCTACAAAGATGATTCAAATGCAGCTCTTCACTTTCTGCTGAAAACAGCATATTTTCAGCAGAATTCCTCCTATGTACAGGCACAGAAGTCAAGAAAAAGATTACTAACTTGATTCCGTGTCCGCTAGAGAGAGGCTGGTCTATCCCTCCAGTTGTCAGGCATAACTAATAAGTTTTCCTCCATATTTTTTTTCCTCTCTGTTCCTGCAGTCCTGTATTTTTCTTGACACCTTATTAGCTTTACAATACAGGTTTTGCAGTCCTCAAAATCAATCACTTTTTTTACTGATGTGGAACCAGCTAGAGTAATTTAATAGCTCTTCCAAACACCTACCATCACAATCAAACTCCTGCTGCTTCATTTACCTGAAACCCTTATAGTCCATGTAATGGTATTTTCATTTGAACTAGAAACTAAGGTCTTCTACTGCCTGATGCTTTTTGCCTTTCCCACTCATCTGGTACCTTTACAGTCTCCTCTTAAAGCAGAGAACTGGATGCTCATCCTCTTCTTCCATGCTGGTAAAAGATTTGGGCAGACTCCATTGTCTCACCCACTCTCCTGGTGTGGTGTGCCATGGAAATGGTTTTTCCCAGTTTTATGGTCAGTGCAGGTAACTGGTACTCCCTGCTCTGAAGGCTGACATAGGTAGGGAGGGATGTGACAAAAAGAACATTCAGTGCTGATCTCCTGGGCTTCAGAACATAGCCTGAAGTACAAAATACACCAGCAGTCAAACTGAAATTAGAAAAATATGAGAGATTTGTCAATTCCACAATTCCTATGCTGCCACCTGTCCTCTTCCAGCAAGATTCTGGTTTGACAGACTTTGTAGAAAGAACACTTAAAGTAGATTTTGATCTTCAAAAACTGTAACAGCTGCAGCTGCTCACAATGGCTTTCCACATGAAGAAAATTCTGGTGACATCTCTAAAGCCTTAGATTTGGCAGAGAAAAATAGTATGTATAGCCAATATAATCTGTTTGGTGCATCTTTTATTCAAAATGAAAATGTCATTCCGTGTCACGCATACTTCAACCAAGGCATGCAGAGATACAGAATGAGACAGGAGACCTTTAAAAGGCTTACACAGAAACAGAGAGCACTGGAACTTTGAGGTCACTGTAAAGCCATTAGAATTTTTACTGTTTTAATTTGAAGCAAAGAACCTTCAGAGTATCACAGATGTGAAGTGGGACTGGAACAGGCAGTCAGCCTGGCAGGGCCGTCTGAGCCAAACAACCTCTTCTATCTCATGGTAGAAGGGAAGATTGTGGAAGGATTGGCAGAGTATAGAGGAAAAAAACATTTAAAAACATTTAGAAATGTCTCCTGAAGGAGACTGAGTTGCCTGCTCTGAAATGTGGTAAAGAAGTGTACAGAGCCTGAAACACCACTCATAATGTTGCAGGAATGGATGAGACATTTTTTGCCAAATTTGACCCTGTACTGTCCCTGTTTTCCTCACCTACGAAGTCCTAAAGGAAACTTGCCCTTCATAGTTCAAGGTTTATTTCCTTAAAACATGTTATACCTCCGAAAATATGGAGCACAACCGAATGCCCATGCTTGAGCTAGCTGTGGAAATCCTACCTCCACTGGTTGCTGTTCAAAGGATGAATTAATGAATGAATGAAACTTATGTCTTCAATGCCTGTCTCACAACTTCAACAATATTAATTTTTGGTAATGGCATTTTTCTTCCTTTTACAAGAAGCATGGCCTTTGCCTGTGACACCATTTATGCATCACATGATGCTCAGGAAGCAATTCTCTCATATCTTGTCTCCAGCCTAAAACATTCTCTGTACACAGAGTAAACCCTGGGAGCTGTGGCCCATTAAGGATTTTGTCAAAGCAGCATGTTTTTGAAGGACAAATGTCCTAATTCACCAATATTATATTTTAAACAAAACAAAACCCCAAGTTTTTCTGGGAACTCACCTTTGCCTCCAGCACCATTTCCCAAGCATTACAAACCACATAAAAGGACAAAGGATACTTCAGTGCCAGCCCAGAGAGACCTGAGCCAAGAAATGCCTTTCCAGGAGGAAGATCACAGACATTGAGATCACATGCCTGAAAGAAGGTAGATTTTTTCACTTTCTTATGTTTTCAGAATTTTCAAATTTTCAGGACCAATTTGATGAGCTCTTAGCCAAGAAATGATTCAAAGCCTACCCACCCAAGTGAAGAGGGCAAACCCCAGATTTGGACGCACAGTCTGTGTTGCTGCCATCTGCTGTTTTCATGTGGAATGGAAAATTTCAATTTACTTTTTCCCCTACCACATTTTTTTCAATTTTTAAATGCAGTCATAAAAGGAAGATTAGAGAGAGAGCTTTCTTTTTAACAATTCTTGATTTAAAAATTCTCATTTACTTATTGGACCAGATAAATTTTTCTTTTAGTTTTGCTGCCTATTTGGGGGCTGGGTTTGGGGGTTTTTATCCTTTTTTTTTTTTAACATGAATTCCCATTCGGGATAAAAGAGAAGCTTCTCCACTTCTACAGAAAACCAAAGAAAGCAGATTAATAGGGAAATAATGTATTCATTTGGGTGTATTATATACTTTCTATGACTAAATTTTAATTGGATGACTTGCATAAATGGAATGTAAATTTGTCTACAGCACAGCATGGATTTGGTGCTTTAAAAGCCAAAGTTCAACCGCTGATTTCATTAAGTAGGAACTATAATTAGAAAATGTAGGGTAGGTAAAGGAAATGAAAACAAACGTGCTTCATTAACTGTTCTTCAGGCACAGGTAAATATGAGCTCATTCACTGCAACTGTGCACTGCAGCCTTATTGGGAATAAAGTAATAACCTTGGACTACAGAATAGCTCACTCCCCTGCTTACATTTGTTAGGGATCCATGACTAGGAACCACCGTGCAAGGCAGGTTTGAAGTTTCCTTCTTGAGCCTTATAATTATGACCCACAGAAAGATCAATTATCACTGCCCCTATTCCACTATGAGCCCGAATGACCTTGGAGGTCTTCTCAAAGCAGGAGATATTAAGATGAATGGTTTTGGTTTTGATGACCATTGGGAAACCAAGATTAGAATTATAGTTTCTTGATTAATTGTGATAATAATATTATCAATTCACAAAGACACAATCAGTTGCCTCATTAGACTTTGCAAGTGATACATGATTTCTGTATGACCCATCTGAATGCTGTGTGGACCTAAGCCTGGCAGAAGTTACCTCCTAGAGCTTCATCTTCTCCTGGGGCAGAAAAATAGATGTTTGATACTGCAGATAGGAAAATAACAACAACTAAAAGCTCAGTTGCACATTGTTGGTATGCAGAGAACAGCCTTGCCCTCAATCCAAGTTATCTATAGGTAGCCATTACTGCAAAATTAATATTTTTGAATGGCAGTAGACTTTCTTTCCACTTTATTTCAGTTTAGCCCATGCTGACCTGTTTTTGGTCTTCACTCTCCAGCCTATGTCAGCACGGACACCCTTGTTGGTGCTCTCAGCCTGTAGAACAGAGGATGATCACTGTGCTGCTCACTGAATTAGGGTGCCACCATTATCCTTCCTAAAGGAAAGCATCACACACCTGCCCTGCTGGCTATTAACCAGGAGAGAGGATGGTGGTCACACCTTAAAAAGGTAGGAATGGAATGGGAAAGAATCCTGAGAGAACAAGGCCAAACTTAAGAGCTAAACCTACTGCTGAGTATGGCATAGCTGAAAGACAATAAAAGATTCCTTAAACTGGGCAGAACAACAGGACAAAAGACAAACAAAACCTCCTAAACCATGTCTGTGCATTTTATTATGGGGTGGGCTGCAGCCTGCCAGCCTGTTTTAAAATCAACACTTCACAGCAAGAAACTACAGAGCAATGTATCACTTCTCTGCAGGCACTTCCTTCCCCTGACAAATGGTTCAGGCACAGTAATAGCTTAACCAGAACTGCACCGAGGGAGGAGGATCTGTAGGAAATAAATCTGTATTTATTTACAGACACATACCCAGGCACACAGCTTATTGTGCAGAGAAGCTTCTTATTGTGGAAAATGAGCTGCATAAAATGCAAAGCTACAGGAGATGTTTTAACACTCAGGGGAAAAAAATAAATTCCACATGTTACACTAATTTATTCTGTCCCCAAGGGGGATCTCCATAAACTTCTCAGTCAAAAAATCAGCTCCTCTTCCAGCAGTTTTAAGACTTACTAGTTAGCACTCTTTGTTAACATCACTAACTTACTAGCCTTACATTTTCCTAATTTTTCTAAGCAAAGGAGAACAGAAAAGGGATTGTTTGAGAGCTCATCATAGTGCTCCTGAGTGCAAGCTGAAGCACATTTTTTCCTGAGGCAGAGAATAAACTGCACCCTAATGTAAATGGCTGATACAAAGCCAATACACCAATTTATGCCTCAGCTAAATCCTTAACTTAGCACTTATGTAAGACATTAGACTTTTATAGCACTTGGACCAAGGTAGGAATTCATGAGGAGCTCACTAATTTGAGAAAACAACTTGAGTATGCTATTCTGTACGACAAACCAGACCACTTATCCAATTAGGGAGAGATGAAGGAAGATAAATTCTATTTTGCCAGCTTTCTGAAATGTTTTTCAGATTTCCTCATTTAATACAAACTTGATATAAAGCTGCAGAATAACATTTTTAAGCTGCTCTCTAGTTAAAATGCTAAGCCTTTCCCTCATGAGTAAAAAAAAGTATTGCGCATGCAGGGTTTTAACTATCTCTGCTCAAATTCTGCCAATTTTTAAATGCTTAGGAATCACACTGAATCTGCTCATTCCCCACCAGGGCTGGTAAATGAATTAGAACTAGAGTTCTGCTATTTTTCTTGTACTCAGTAGTCACATTTGTAGGAGACTATTATTTTTTGAAACACATTAATGTAATGATGGGAAATTTAGCATAAGCTAACAGAGATTTGTAGGTTCTACACCTGAACCAAAATGCACTTTTAATGAGCACCCCAGGAAATGATGCTGTCCTCGTGAAAGTGTAATTAATGGCTTGGAACTGAAATGTTGGGATAATAACACAAAGAAGCAACTTGTAAGATGGATTTTTCAGGATATGGATGCTTAGCACATCCTCAAAATAAAGCCATTTCTATTGTGAGAGTCTCTATTATGGACACTCTCACAAATCATTACTATCTTTTAAAAATGTTTGGCTTTTTTGACTGACAGTAAATTGTATTTTTCCTATTAAATGAAGACATCTCCGAACATTTGGAAACAACTTTGCACATTGTGATGAAAATCTATTTGCAATAAAAAGAAAAACTAAATGTGCAGAAGTGAAACAAAGATCAGCTCTACATAGCTGCAAAAGTCAACCTCTATGAGATTTTATGTTATCAGCAAAGAAGCAGTAGCACTATAGAAATAAGACTATGATCCATTCTACTACTACAAAAACAAAATCTACCTAAACAGAACTTAGCCACTGGAAAGCCTTTGACAAACTCTAATAGTTTTGTTTTGGAGGACAATTTTTGTCCTTTTTAAGGGCAATGGGGGAAGACTAGGAGATGCTTAGTGTTAACATGTGTTAACATCAGACCTGTAGGACTACTTTATAAAAATTGCAGGAAGCACGTACACAGCAATATTGGAAAGACTTGGTTTCTTAAATGCATTCCAAAGGAGGAGCTTGGTGTCTTTAACAAAATGAATGAGGATAGACATAACAGTTAATTCATTCTCATTTTAAAAATCCTAGGTCATATTTTTGTTAAGCATAATTAGAAGCCTTACTGGCAGTTCTCTCCTCAAGTTCCTGACAAGGCTCTTCCAGCCCATTCAGCGTTACAGGGGCTGATTCATGGCCCCGGGTAATTTAGAGGCACTGAACCTTGGGCTGCTTCTTGGGGGAGGCAAAATCGCAGCCCAGAAAGAAAACCTCCAGAGATTCTGTGATGAAGGTTAGAAAAGTAACCTCTATAAATCAGGAAGAAGTAATTTAATTTTCCTCTAAGTCAGGCATCAAGTCTTTTCCCTTACATCAGTGACCCCTGGGTACCTGAGACTCACTTGGGAGAATTAACAGTATCCCATGCCTTATGGCAAGCCAACAAAATTGTTCTTCAAAACAAGGCATCCTAAAGAACCCACCTATCTGCAAAGGACACCATCTCAAAAGAGCATGGGGAGAAACTCTACACTGATTACAGCACCAGCTGTGGGGCACAGCTGGTTACAAACAGCATCACCTCTTCTCCTTTTCCTAGGTCTGCAGGTAGAACAGGAGAGAGGCAGGATCAGACTCTGAGACCTGGATCAGACCAGGCTTTCTGACTTCCATGTGGGCTTTTGCTACTTACCCTGAAGAGATGCACCAGGAAAACTGCAGGAGGGAGAAGATGAGTCCTGTGGGAAGTACATTTCTCTTTCTAAACACACTAAGATGAAATGGCTCAGGTTCAGACTCCCAACTTCATGTACAAGAATCTCAGTAATTTAATTTTCAGTTGTTAATAATTTTTATGTTTCCTCAGTGGAAAAATGCTTAAATGTAATTTACATTCAAGCCACCAGAAGGTTATAAACAATTCCCAGGCTGAAGGCTTCCAAACTATGTCAATTCAAAAAACCAGCAAGACAGACATAGGTATCCTTGCAAGAAGTGCTGTTCACAAACCTGCAGTCCAAGGAAAACGTGGCACAGAAATGAAACAATGGGGAAAAAGCAGCCTATTTCCTTCAAGGGCTGTGTAAATATCTCTGGAATGTGTGTATTTCAGGGTGACCTCCTTCTGGGGTTTGCATTTTCCACAACTTCCCTGTGGTAAGAGGGAGACTCGCTGTGCACGTCCAGGTCCCCAGGCAGGGTCTGTCAGCCCTGCCTGCTGCAGCCAGCAACACCCAGCTGATTGAGTGCAGCTGGGGCACTGCCTCATTGCTCACCAGCTATTCTGAGCTATTCTGGGCTGCCTGGGCCAGCACTGGCCCAGCTGCCTCCTGAACCAGCAGGAGTCAAAGGGGTTGGGCTGCAATGCAGGGGGAGGGAGAGCGGCAGAAAAGAATTTAGATCTCCCAAACTGTGAACCTGTCAAACTGATGGAAAAGTCCTGCTCTGTGGTATCACACTCATCTTTCTCAATTTGCTATCTATATGTGCAATAAAGCACTGCATGTTTAGATGATTTGGAAGTTAAGATGGGATATTTCAAGTTTACTCCAATCTTGAATAGCATTATCTTGCTTTAGCATCAAAACATAAACTAGAGCGAGACAATAACTAAGCTTGTTAAAATTTTGTAACAACTCTCTGGGTCATGTTTTTGAATCACTATCAACAAAGAAATAGAAGTTAAACCCCTTAAAGCACTACACAATTCCTCCTTCCTCCAAGTCAAACATTAGTAGTATTCTTACCTCTAGTATAGACTGGAGGTAAGAAATCATCTTTTCCTTAGGGTTTGCACCTGGAACAGTCATACTGTTAATCAGTTTACAGCTATGTTAAATAGTTTACCAGTACCTGTGTGAAATAGACACAAATAAGATATATTTTTTCTGTAATTTTAAGTCTTGCACCCATTAGCCAATTAAAATTGTTAAAGATTACATACACATGGGCCATGTATATGTTTACTACAGATTATTTTTTTGGAAATTCTGCCTGTGTATTATCTATACTGCAATTACATCTGTTGTGTACACCACAAAGACAATCAATAAATAAATGTTTCAGTCAAAACCTCACCTAAATTTACATAGCATAGAGAACTTGGCTTAGACTGAAGAATTTAACAGAAGAATTTAAAAGCTGGAGTTTGCCATATTTTGTTAAGTTCTGCATAGTGTTTGTTCTTCAGAAATTCCTATATCAAGTCACATAGGAGTAAACTTCCTTTCCAAAAGTCTCAGTTTTGTTCAGTTCCTTAACTCTGCAGCTTTACCTTTAAAATACTGGAATCAAATCTTGGGCTTTCAACAGTAGTCCAGTACCATACTCATGTTCAGTATAAGATTAAGGAGAACTGGTTTTCTTTGCATCTCCTTAAGCTTTTTGTATACTTCCATGCAAGCTCTGCACAAGCCAGCTAATCAAAGCTATTCCTTCATGCTCCTAACCAATTTCAGCAGGGATTAAACATCTAGACAAGGATCTGTGACGCCATCTTCACTTCTGAATCTCAGTCTCCAGTCTACAAAATAGAGACAATGCTCACAAACGTAAGGATATTTGCAATACCTCACTCATGGCTGTATCTGAAGGATGAAGAGCTGAAGAAGGCAGTTGGGCTTGCTTTTTGTTTGGTTGGGGTTTTTTGTTTAACAAAGCAGCTCATCTGATGCACACAAGTCCCACCTGAAGAATTTGCATAAGGTTCTGTCTCTGGGAAAGAGACTTTTTTCCTGAAGAAAATTGTGCACCGGTTCTGAATTCCCAGGGCACTTTTCCTTTCCTAGCTTGAGGAGATTTCTCTCTGTGTTCTCCCAATGCTCTGAACATCTTGGAAACCTGCCCTGAGGCAAGCAATGAATG